AATCTTCGTTACTGGGTGGTTGGGTCGGAATATATCGAGGGTTTGGGTAATGTTATACAGATAGGGTTTTGACGGGATTAACCTTCTCTGATGTTTGTGTTGGAGGATAACAAAATGTGTTGTTGGACATACAAGGTCTTGTGGAACAAACTTTGATCTAAGCCTATAAGTTTTAGAAGGGATTGCTTTTAGATATTCCATTCTAATTCCGGGATAGTTTTCCCCATAGTCCTATTGTTAGCTGTTGTTGAACAAAGAAGTTTGTCTCTGGTGTGTGTCACTTGGTTCTTAACACATGTGTTAGATGTAGACACAGTGTCAGATATACACACTGGGGTTTTTCTTGCACTTTTGATATTGTTTGGTTTTGCTGTTTGTTGTAAAGGCAGATTACAAAGTTCTGATTCAAATAAATGATGACTTCTCAGACATGATATTTTGAAAGAAATATATGATAAATTGCATTCTGATTTCAAAATTATATTTCTTATGTTTGCTTGTCCACAAATAAGATGTATTAAAATTGACAGTTTTTAAGGAATTGTCTCAAGGCCTGAATTTTGTTTGTCAGGGACTAGTAGACCTTTGTTGATTTTGGGCTCAACAATTGGTGGGGTAGCCTAGTGGTTAAAGCGTTGGCTCGTCACGCCGAAGACCTGAGTTCAATTCCCCACATGGGTACAATATGTGAAACCCATTTCTGGTGTCCCCCGCCGTGATATTGCTGGAATATTGCTAAAAGCGGCGTAAAACCATACTCACTCACTCATTAAGTCAAGGTTTGGTTGTGTATCACCTTCTTCTCCCATGAAACAGATTGCATCTTTATTTTCCAGTGTTCACCATTACCCTGCTTCTTGTTGATGTAGATATCAACCTGACTCTCCACCATTACCTGGAGGCACCTGCCATGTGGGTGATAAATTAACCCTTATTAGTCACTTAACTCTTTGGGGGGTCATCTCCTTAGCTGGTGAGGAGATTTTACTGCAGTTTAACATTGTTAGCCCATGGTAGTGTCTGGCTGTGTAATCCAAGGGATTTCTGTTCCACTTCTTGTTAGTAAAACTTACATTTTCCTCCATGGGACGAGAGGAATTTGGTTTGTAATCTTGCAGAGTTTCCATAGAGAGATCCATTAATGAACCAGTTTGTTCTTTATGTGTTGGTACGTAGGAAACATTAGCCTCTCAGAGGCCTTTACATACCAGTTATCAGGAGTGTTAGGTATTTATGAAAGGAGCTTTGTCGTAAGTGACATAAAGAGTGCTCATGATGGGAAAATGATCAGGTTATTGAAGTTAGATAAATATTATTTACTAATTTGATTTTGCACTCTGTGAACATTTATTTGAATAAGGACAATGTGTTCTCAGTCTGTTTGTGTGTATAGAAAGATTGGGAATAAATTTGATTTTACTGTCAGGACCACTGAAGCTGAAGTAGGTTAAAATTGAATTTGTGCGTCTGAGAGGAAGTTCGTTTGTGGAAACAAAACTGTCTGCTTTTTTATTATTGTCGTGCATTAGTCATGAGAATTCAGTTTGCTTTGTGCTTTGCTTTGAAGTCATTGTAACGTATTTCATTGAGATATCTGAAAAATTTGTTGTCTGTGCCACAATCACGCACCAGCTCCTATAGCGACAGAACCTCCTCAAATGCTGGTCCAGTTCTCATAGTAAGTGCAAGGATCTTTGTTGGTTTACTGGGTCTGTTTGCTTCCTCGTAATTTCCCGCTTTGAATGTATACGTGAATATGACTCATTACATGTTGTCTGCATGTATCATAGTGAAATCTTGTCAAAATATATGTGGCATCGTAAGAAAATATGGCTTCTCGCCATTGCAGTTCTTGCTGGATGCCATTATCTAGTCTGCTCTTCAGACCCTGAAACAAATATATCCAAGAAAGCCCATGCAAGTCTGTGATATGTGGCAAGTCTTGAATACTGCAGTTGGGTCCTTTTTATCAATTTTATTAAGTTCATTTAGGAGCTGTTTTTCTGTAAAATATGCACTTTTCAGAGACTTGCTGTTAGTCTACTCATTATTCAAAAATATGATGTATCACAACAACAAAATATATTGCTTATCATGTACAGGTACAAACCAAAGCCGAAGACTTGCATGGTGAAACACGCCTGCTGGAAGGTAGACAAAAGTACAGTAAAGCGCCCTCTAGAGCAAGGGGATAACTGGTACAAAATAGGATTAAACATTGTTGGTTTAACTAAACAAACACTACAATTCACTAAGGTGATTTTCTTCACCCTAACATTGTACTGAGACACGACTTGTGTAGAGTGTTTAGTTGTGAGGCAGTGTAGGCCGCCATGTTCAATTCTAACACTGATGCATATGCTTTAAAAAACCCAGACTGTCACAGAATTTTTACATGCCATTTTATGTGAAAGATGGATGTTTTTATATTTCTATCTTGAAGCTCCTCTTTTAATTAGAACCTTGATAATTTATGACCCTGTCGTACAATAAATCAACCTTGTAATAAAACTAATTAAGTCTCCGTACCAATAACAAACTGAAAAAACATGATCAATATTAACCAGAAAAACATAATTTCTTCTACTGGTATGTGGCTAATTGCCCTTCTAACACATCCAAATCCCTGTTTGACATAGTATCGTGGTGACACGGCTCTGGTATCAACATTATTCAGCCTCTATTGAGGGATTAGAGTCACAGACAGTGGTCTCCATAGAGGATAAACAAAACAGAAAGCTACTGAACACTATCAAATCTTTACTTCACCTTTTCACCTGCTGCAAGTGGCCTGTTAGGGTTCGTAAGGGCTTCATGTTATTGTCATGGGTAAGAATGTTATTGAATGGTAAGATTTGTAACCATTACTTGCTGTCACGTTCAGTTCAGAAAGGGTAGTTTAAGATACTTAAAGGGTCATGATGGTGGGGAAAGTATTACATGGATAAGGGATGAGGAGAAAGTTGGCATGGAGACAGATTTTGTGGAGTAAGCTTTAGGTATGATGTTCATTTGCTTTAAACTTTTTCAGTTTACATTTTTCATTTTAAATGATTTTTAATGCTGTTTAAACTGTTGTGTGTTGTAAATGCTATGTGATTTTATTCAATCTTACAAAAACATTAGTCCTGTATTTTTAACTTCATCACACTACAAAATATTCAAATGTTCGACTGAAGTCTACTGTACTGTCAGCCATGCATAACAAGTTGTGCAAGTTCATATTGCTGTTTTAGATGTTGGGTGTGAGCAATATTTCATGTTTACAGATCCTATCCATGGTTTTCACAAATCCTTTCTGTCCCAGACAATAGGTGGTATATATTTGAAATTTTATATGTCTATGAATCTCCTTTCTGGAAATCACCTCTGTCTGACAGCTAAGTATATTTTTGAAATATTCCATTTCTACAAATCTCCTTACAGGTTTATTGTTACCACCTTTTCAGTCCTACAGTTGACGCAGGTTTATGCATATAAGTGATGATGACAATACCGACAATGCTCTCAGCACGACATGCTTATTGCCTTCAAGACAGATGTACTGTCAATGACAACAAGCACCTGCTAATGTTGTTTCCCTCCCAGCTTCGGAGGTTCCTATAGCTGCTATTGATTTCTGCATGATGAAAAAATGACATGTTTGACAAATTGCTGCACTTGGAGGGGAGATATTCATAAATCTTTATGCCGTCATGTTGTTTTCAAATATGATTCATATTGAGCGCCTCATGTTCGAAATGTGAGTATATTAGTGTGTTTGACATGACCTTCTTGCTGCTCTGATATGAGGGTCGATGATTTTATGTCTCCTTTTTGACAGTTTTTGAAGAAAAAAATGTTTCCTGATGTTTTATCTGATATCACTTAAAAAATGTTCAATGCATGCAAAATGAGTTTGCAGGATTGTCAGATTTGTTATTCTATTAAATTAGTTTAGATTTTATTTGTTGATAAATTTCCATTTATTGATAAGATTGTCAATAAATTTCTAACACCATTTATAAATGGTTGGGCGGCTAAATCTGACATGAGTATTTTTTGGCTCTGTAAGTGACAGTGCTTCTTAAGTGTTAGCTTTGGCCACAAAACATGCCTGTCAAAGTTTGCTCAAAGTTGATCAATGAAAAGTGGGGAAGTTTGTTTTTAAACATATTTGGTGTGAGAGACAGAGAAGTTTTCTTTTTCTTTCAGATCTTTTTGCGGATTTATTGAACTTCGTTGAAAAGTTCTTTAGATTGAAAAGATTCTTTTACCAATAGTTGAATGATGATTTGTTAAGATCTCATGCAGTTGTGTCCCCAAGAAAATGACAATTATTTCTTGATAATTTTCTTTTGGTTATTTTTTGTCTTTGTTTAGTGAATTAGTTGTTCCCCGCTACCGATGCTGGTCTTACAAGGCAACCAAATCGATTGGATGGCCATTGGTGACATAGTGACAGCATGACACTTTCAAAATATCAATCACTGGATTGTCTGGTCCAGACTTTTATTATTTACAGGCTGCCAACACTATTCATCTTGAAAGGACAAACAAACATACATTAGTATTGTATTAGTATAGTTTCTGAGAAATTGTAAATGTGTGGTTTCTTCCCACTTTGGAAACTGACTGTTATTTAAATAATACATATGTTGCATTTACGGTTATCACAAAAAAACAAGCTTAATCCCTGCATATTACTTCTTTAGTCATCATTTTGCAGTTGTGTTGAAACACGAATAAGAAAATATTTACCTTGATCCTTTAGACAGTCAGTCAGTTAGTCAGTCGATTAGTCAGTTTTACTGATGTGAGGCGAGGCAGTATGGGTAACGTCACATGTACTGCTGCAGATCAAGTCCTGCGCTCCATGTTTGGACCCACTTGTCACTAGCTAATGAGATGCCACAACAGGTATTCAGTACATGAATATCAAAATGATTTCTCACAAGCGAAATATTCAACTCCAGGAATTCCACCAATGTGTTGCTTTAAACCACTGATTTGTGTTGCAGGGCAGACAATGGCAGGTTTATTTGTGCGGAAGTGTCCGTGCCTGCGTCCAGCAATAGATGATGATGTCCGTGTCTTGGATTACCGACACTGCAGTCTCACAGATGTCCCGGGAGAAGTCTTCAACTTTGAGAGGACCTTAGAGGAATTGTACGCTGATTCCAACCAAATTAGAGATTTACCACGGGTAAGTCACAGAGATTAGTTTGTGTCCTTTTGTGTTTTTTTTAATATTGGAATGGTTTTGAGAATATTCTCACAATAACATTTTTGAGTCTGTGAGTGAGTGAGTGAGTATTGCTTTACGCCGCTTTTAGCAATATTCCAGCAATATCACAGCAGGGTACACCTGAAATGGGCTTCACACATTGTACCCATGTAGGGAACTGAACCCAGATCTTGGCATGACGAGGCAACGCTTTAATCACTAGGCTACCCCACCGCCCCAGTTTTGAGTGAGACCTGCGAGGGATTCCAGGGAGAAAGAATGACCTTCAGTAGACAAACATATAGTCTCTGACAGTTCTGTATAAAAAACACACAATGGTTTTGGGTGTTTTATTATTTGTTGTTTTTTTTTTTAGACAATTATAATGTTTGTACACAGGACATCTTGTAAGCCTAGAGATCAGTTCTGGAATGCAGCTAAATACTGAAGACAAATATAAATCATTTTAGTTTTTTGGAACGACTATTTGAAAAGGATCCCCCCAACCCCCAATATCAAATGGTTGGCATCTTATGTGATATTATGTCACAGATAATATGTCATGCAAAATCTTAAACTGAAGCAGAACTAGTTACAAAACATTTATGATCTGCTTTGATGCCTTGATTTATAGTATAGCCGAGGTGTTCATGTGAAGTATTTATAGTGTATCCAATCTGTATCAATATACTTGGGCAACTGATCTCATACAGTTCACACAACCAGTGACAGATTCAAATGTCATTCAGGCTGGAGTGTTTCAATGGCTGTAAACAGTATGTCTATACCCTGCCACAGGTGTATTACATGGGACTCACTGGGCCTGTTACTGGGCTGGGCACAAATAATGATTGAATATTTACATGACATCTAATTATTTATCAAGGCCCTTTAACCCTAGTCTTGTAATATTGCCTGATATAGAGTTTCCATTAGCCTTGCTCCAAGGCAGTACTGAAGGCTTAGCCCATGGACATATAGTATCCCAAAGCGAGCTGAATTCGACGTTCTGGTGTTTTCGACGATTGCATTGCTGGCGCTATATCGGGGGAGTATGTGCGCGATCAGTGAGCACAAGCAATTTCATCGGCAGGGCGGATGCCCAGTCACTGTCGTGAGAAGTTTTATTGACAATTGAAAACCGGAAGTTAAGTTGTTTAAAAAGCAAACAAACATAAATATTATTTACCCGAGATCGTTAATACCACTTCAGATGCAAAATCAGTTGCCTTTATAACAAAAAATAGCAAGCGAAAATTCAGTAAGATCATTCGTCTGCTGGTGACAGGCAATATTTAAATAGAAAGCCACATTATCACAACACTCCCTCGCAGTGCGGAGCGAAAAGTATGGCTCATCGTCGAAAACCCATACAAAATCCACGGATGTGGCGAACGGCAACAGTTTCGCCGATACGATGTCATCAACCTTTTTTTTGTAGGAAACACTTGTGTGAAATAGTTGAATATATCCTTTATAACCCAAGGTTAGTGAAATTAAAACTTCAAACGATATTACAGACAAAAATTACGTTTTTGTCTTACATCGTCACAAAACCCTGATACCGGGATAATTCTATCCTTTAAAGAGGCAAGTCTAGATAAGGACGCCAGTCTGTTAGAGGGATATTTATATTTTTGTAGAAATTGTCATTTAAACTATTAATTATTACCTTAGAGACTTCTGCAAGCCCAGGTTTCCATGGTCTGTGAGCTTTTTAGTATTCATGGACTTACCTAGACTTGCTCTGAGGATTTATTGGCCCCAAATCTGATGCAAATGCAATAAAAAATTACTGACCTGGAATAACTCTATTTTTTTCAGTTTATGTTATTGTAGTTATACAGCTATATGGCTCTGTGATGTTGGCTCATGTTTCACTCATAACTGGAACAATTTGTTTGAGTGGCATTTTAGAAGTTGGTGGTATAGAGATGACAAAACTGTATGGATGATCAGCTTCTTTATTTTCACAATATTTCATTTGCTTGAAAACGGTATAAGAATCTATACCGAAACGTCGCCATTGTGAGAAGTTGATCATCCATAAAGGTTTGTCATCTAAACTGGAACAATGAAGTGGATTAGGCATTGTTGCAGGGAATGTAATATTGACAAACAGTCTATAATTTAAGAACATAACTTGAGATGACAGTGGAGCTGGGTACCACAATAAATCCACGTATTAGTACATGTACTTATTTATCAACTGTACGGCTGGAACAGCATTGACGGGGCATAATACTTCAACTCATTCACGGTTTCAACTAGATCGTAGAATCCACTCAGTTTTTTATGCATAGGGTGTGGTGGGGTAGCCTAGTGGTTAAAGCGGTCGCTTGTCAAGCCGAAGACCCGGGGTCAATTCCCCACATGGGCACAGTGTGTGAAGCCCATTTCTGGTGTCCTCTGCTGTGATATTGCTGGAATATTGCTGAAAAGTGGGCGTAAAACTAAACTCAAGCACTCACTCTTATTCATAGTTTGAAAATAGAAAACTGGGATAAAGCTAAGGAATTATAATGTTTTTATGTCAGAAGTATGATATGACTGGTGATCTGGTGGTGACGGGAAAATAAACCGTTTTTGATATCAAATGTATTCCTCGTTATTTTGAGTGTTGCTTTATAATGCTTTGACTAAAGTGAACTAATGTTTATGTTCTTGTGATGTTTGACATAATACCCTGGAAAGGCTGTGGCAGTTTGTCCAGAATAAGATATGAAATGTGTCATTCATTCACTTAGCTGGGTTACAGACCAAATGCCTTTTTAATGATTTTATTACAATCTATACCTACCAACACATTTTATATTTTGTGTCTGATTTAAAATGTGTGATGCTGTAAATAACAGTCCAAACAAATTACAGTCCTGAGCAACTGAAAACCTTGCATAGCTACTGGCAAGAGAATGGAGATGGTATTTCATGAACTAGTCTTGGTGTATGAGCCCAGGGTGTTTATGATAATATAATACAGATGTAATGCCCAGATAACAGAGGATGGACCAGCTGCGACTAGACTGTTGTGAAACCGACATTGAGGATGTTTACAATTTACTCAGATTTTGTCATGGGGTTCTGTGTGTTTTAGCTTCAATTTGATAATAATTTACTATTCAAACGAAGTTATGGAACACTTGATGTTTTATATGATTTATACCTGGATACCTGATAGAGCCTGTGTCTTATTGCTGTGGTACATGTCATTATCATGTTCATACATCATCCATCAGTAAAGTACCGTAATGCAGATAGTTGTTATAACTCTTTGGCAATATGTATGTAGTAAGAAAATTAGTTTAACATTGTTTGAATAAATATTGCTGACATAAAAAATGTTAGTGTGTTCTCCTGTAGGTCTGTGGCCTGTGGTGAGCGTGGGTGGTTTGATTGCTCCCAGTGTACACAGCTGGATCACCTCCTGGGAGGTCATCAGCAGGTGCTTGTCTTTATTTAGCTGATGTGACAACACTTTGTATAATAATGTCCTTCTGTCCTTCTGACACCAAAATTATGTAGAAATGAATATCAGTGTTCTACCTATTGTAGGTTTGTGTACATATTCTATTCACAAAAATAGTGTGCACAATTTGTTAAACTGCAGATGGACATGGCCAAATTTAAGGTAACATCTTTAAAGACCTAGCGATGTACCTGAGTTTAAACATGGCATGGCAGACTAAAGTGATATCAAAAATAGGATCGTCCTTACCTTTTTAGGGTATGATGTATTTTTATCTGGCCATTAGGATTATGAGAAGTTAAGTAACTGTAGATGACATCAGCAGACATTTCTGAGGTGGAAGCCATGCAGCCAAATGTCCTGTATCAGTCAGACAGTCTGTGGTACACTATTGATCTGTGTGCAGCAGGTGTTACAACCTTGTCTGAAGTCGGTTGTGGCATTACATTGCTTCCCCTCTCATTTTGTGTTGACAGGCAAATAACACTGAACAGTAGGTCTGGAAAATGTACTTTTGGCGTCCTGAAGCTGGGATTTTTTCCTGTGAAATCAGAAAAACAATGTTTTTATGTGAACCACATGTATATAATGGTTTATACGAAAATTCATTATTAATTATTACCACAAGCGATATATTAGATTCAGACTTGAGTTATGTAATGTTTTGGACAGATTGGAATTTTGTTTTCTGAAAAAAAACTACACAAAGCAAAAAGAATTCAATAGATTTGTCTGTAGTTACTGAAGCTAATGATATTTTTATGGTGTGAATATTCTATAACCCAGATCCATTTTATTACAAGCACCCCCCTTCAACAGGTACAGTTCATTCTTGACAAAAATAAGTACTTTTTTGCATGAAATACCAATTTTCTGTCTGGAAGCAAAAATATTGGTACCAGTTTGTTTTGTTTGCAGCCTACAAGGATAGTACCAGTTTGTAGTTGGAAGCCTTCAGGGTTGGTCCCAATTTTCTAGTCAGAGTTAGTCCCAACTTTATAGTAGGAAGACTTCAGAATTGGTCCCAGTACTTTAGTGCCACATGTTCAGGTTTGGTCCCAGTTTTCTGGTTGGAAGCCTTCAGGGTTTCAGGTTTGGTCCCAGTTTTCTGGTTTGAAGCCTTCAGGGTTGGTCCCAGTTTTGTGGTTTGAAGCCTACAGGGTTGGTCCCAGTTTTGTGGTTGGAAGCCTTCAGGGTTGGTCTTTAAGTTTTGTGGTTGGAAGCCTACAGGGTTGGTCCCAGTTTTCTGGTTGGAAGCCTACAGGGTTGGTCCCAGTTTTCTGGTTATAAGCCTACAGGGTTGGTTCCAGTTTTGTGGTTGGAAGCCTACAGGGTTGGTCCCAGTTTTCTGGTTGGAAGCCTACTGGGTTGGTCCCAGTTTTCTAGTTGGATGCCTACAGGGTTGGTCCCAGTTTTTTAGCGGGACATCTTCAGCTGTCGGTCCCAGTCTTCTGGCTGGAAGTCTACAGGTTGTTCCTAGTTTTCTGGTTGAAAGCCTACAGGATTCAAGGTT